TTCCTGTGAAATGTTAGTGTCTTTCTCCTTTCTTGACATTGGATTACTGTTATTTTTCCTTTTTGTTGATTCATACATTTTTTCTTTTCTTTTCTTTTCTTTTTTTTTTTAAGAGAAAGGGTCTCTGTCTGTTGCCCACGCTGGAGTGCAGTGGCATGATCATAGCTAACTGCAGCCTCAAACTCCTGAGCTCAAGCAATCCTCCTGCCTTAACCTCCAGAGTAGCTGGGACTACGGGTGTGTTCCACCACACCCAGCTAATTTTTTTTTTTTTTTGAGATGGAGTCTCACTCTGTTGCCAGGCTAGAGTGCAATGGCTCGATCTCGGCTCACTGCAACCTCTGCCTCCCCGGTTCAAGAGATTCTCCTGCCTCAGCCTCCCAAGTATCTGGGACTACAGGCACACGCCATCACACCCAGCTAATTTTTGTATTTTTAGTAGATATGGGGTTTCATCATGTTGGCTAGGATGGTCTTGATCTCTTGACCTCGTGATCTGCCTGCCTCAGCCTCCCAAAGTGCTGGGATTACAGGCATGATCCACCGCGCCCAGCCCACACCCAGCTAATTTTTAATTTTTTTGTGGGGATCTCTCTTTGTTGTCCAGGCTGGTCTTGGTCTCCTGGCCTCCCCTATCAGCCTCCTAAGTCACTGGGAGATTGCTGAGATCTTTACACACATTGGTCTCTTGCCATCCAGGTGCTGATTATTTCCTACTGATTTGTCTCCTCTCCCCTCCCTTGCCAGGATGCAATGTTTCATGTGGATACAATCAACATTAGCAATATTCTAATGGCTTTGGAATTTTGTGTCTTAGAAAAGCCTTTTCTACTCCAGTATTTCAAAACATTCTCTTGCATTTCCTTTCAGTTCTTTTATTGTTTATTTTTTTATCTCCAATGTGATCTCTGTGGAGTTGATTTTCATGTAAGGAGTGAGGTAGAGACCCACATATTTTCCCAGATGGCTAGCTAGCCTCAAATCATTTATTGAATGATGCTTCTTTCTCCTAATGAACTAAAATGTCAACTTAATTATATGTGAATTGCAGAAATCTTTCTGTACCTTGGCTTCCAGATTTGTAAACTGAGAGTAATAAATTAGGGTTGCTGTAAAGGTGAATGAGATAATTACAAATATGCAGAACAGTGCTCTGCACATAGTAGGTGCTTGATAAATCTTTACTAAGATTTCCTCCAGATGTATATGATCTATTTCTGGGTCTTACAGTCTATTCATTTAGTTGGTGTATCGGTCAGGTTTGAAGCTGCAAACAAGGAAGCCTACTCTGCCAGTTGGAGCAGAAAAGGAATTTTTTAGATTGTTGGGTGGCTCACGGGGTCTCCAGGAGTCCAGAGAATCAGACACGGTGGCTGTGCAGCCAAGAAGCCTGCACTAGCCTCCCTCAGGGATTGCCCTGGGGAGAACACCACTGCTGCTGCCACTGCTTGGCACACGGATGAAGCTGGCCCTGCTGGCTCTGGGGAGTGGCCATCAGGAACTATACCATGGCATGCCCTACCAAGAGCCTGATGTCTCTGCTGCCTCCTTCATCAGACTCAGATCATATGCAGGTCCTGCTTCTCCTGTTGTCCTCTCTTGCATCTGAGGTTTGCATGGGGAAGCCTGGCTGGCAGAGCACAGGTCACACACCTGTGTGCTGGCTGCAAGGGTGACTGACAAAACGAGTCTGGCCTCTGCTCTGACCTTGGCTCTGCTCTGTTCCTACTCCAAACATAGGAAGCGTTCAAAAGACACTAGGTGGCTACAAATGTGACAAATGTCCATTATAAACTGTCTATTCACAGGCGTGGCTTTCTTGCTGGTAAGATGATGCTGTTTTACAATCCAGTACAGTTGGTTTCCTTTTTTTTCCCAGAAATTTCTCAGCTCTTGTTATATATAGGATCAACAAGTTTAGTTTAAAAATCCTGTTGGTATTTTTGGATCACACTAATATAGATTAATTTAGAGAGAACTGGAATCTTTACCATATGACTCTTTCAATCCAAGAGCGGGGAATAGCTTTCCATTTATTGAAGTTTTTATTTTATGTCCTTCAGGGGAGTTTGAAAAAATGTTTCGCTATAGATTAAGCATGTTTTGTGTTCAATATATTTCTAGGTATTTTATCTTTTAAAATTTTTACTGATGGAATCTTTTATTTCCTGATTGGTTATTGTTTTATATAGGAAAGCTAGTGATTTTTATATGAATTAATTCTTACTAAACTCTTTTAATGTTTAACAGTTTTTAAAAACTGAGGTTTCCTCCTGTGTTTTAGAAGTATACAATCAGATGATTAATAAATGATAATTTTGCATCTTCATTGCAATATTGAAACTTCTCATTTGTTTTCTCATTTTGCATTGGTTAGTAGGTGGAAAACAACATTTAATAATATTTGTTGCAATGGGTATTACTGCCACAATAATGCTGCATAATAATCATCAAAGTTCAGAGATCAAAGCAATCATTTATCCTCATTTAAGTGTCTGCAGGTCAACTGAAGGTTGACTGATGCATGTTGGCCCTGGCTGGGCTTGGTTCCAAGCTGCAGGTTTGGTCCAGGTCTACTCCATGCATCCCTCAGCACCCCTGGATCATCTTGCAAATTCTAGCCTCTACTTTTCATGGTGAGGATGGAAATGTAAGAGTGCTAAGTGGGAACAGAGGATGCTTCTCAAATCTTAGACTCAAAATTGGCACTCTCATTTATACCACTTTCTACCAAAGTCACATGGCCAAACTCATTATTAGGGGGGTTGGAGGAATACTCTGTCTTTAGGAAGAGAAATTGCAAAATCACATGGCAAATGACACAGACACAGCAGGGTGAAGACTTGCACAATGATGCAAGGGGCAGCACTGGGCACCCTTTACTTGTCCCTGACTGATAGGAATGATTCTAGTGATTTGTCATTAGAAATGGTCCTGGGTTTTAGCTTGAGTCATGATACCTCTATCCATGTGGTCCTATTTTGTTAATAGTTCTTAAATCATGAAACAAAGTTGGATTTTTGTCAACTTATCTTTTAGTATATATATAGAATTGTATGGTTTTCTTATTGATACTTTAATATTATGAGTTATATTGATTCCTTCATAAAAAACCATCCTTGCATTATTTAAATAAACCCCACATGGTGTTAGCATATTACCCTTTTAAAATGTATGTTCTGCTTGCTAATATTTTATTCAAAATTTTTGCATTTATATTGTCTTAAAGATCATACTGTAGTCTTTTGTCTCACCATTTTGGCTTTTGTTTTTACTGTTTTGCTGGATTCTTAGATTTAAGTTCGCTTTTCCCTCTCTACAATATTCAGGAGCAGTTTAAATAGCATTGAGTTATCTGCTTCTTGAAATTCTGATGGATTTTTACCTGTAAAGCTGTCTACAACTGGTGCTTTAATGGATAGTGGCTTTTTGACGACACTCTCAATTTCTTCTCTGGTAATTGGACTATTTAGATTTCCTATCTTTTCTGAGGTTAGTTTTCATCATTTATGTTCTTTTTTGAAAATCACCCATTTTGTCCATGTGTTCAAATTTATTTTCAAAACATTGAGCTCAGTAATATATGACACTTTTTAAAATTTCCTCTATATGGGGTAATTTCCCCATTCTCATTTCTGGTTATGCATATTTATGCTTGTTTTCTTGATTAGTTTAGCTAGTGGTTTTTCTGTTTTCCAAACCTATTCTCTGCTTCTTCCCTCCCATCTATCTTCCTTCTCTTCTGCAGGCTAATCCCACCACCTCTGCTCAGATCCTCCCACTTCACGCCTTCTTCAGAAACTTGCTCCATGCTTTATCCTCTCTGTGTCCTGTTCTTTTCAAGTCTTTCTTCATCTTTCCTAACAGCTCATAATCATTCTCCAGCTTCTTCTATCTCGAAGGCCTCCAAGTCCAAGTTGCCCCCTCTGGCAAATGACTGATAGCTTTATTTTCCAAGGCTTCCTGGGAGTGCTTTCCCGATGTCCATACCGTAGAGTATTTCCTGAGTGTTTTCCAGAGTAATTTCATAGCATGAATGACATGCACGAATGACAGCATCTACTTTTGTCTTCTTGACTCCAATTAAACTGTTCTAGTTGAGACCATCTATGATATTCCTCACAGCCAAAGTCATAGGGACTCACATCTAGTCACTTTTCCCGACTTTCTGTGACATTTGCCAATATTGACTATTCTTTCCTTCTTGAAATTCACTCTGCTCTGTTTCCATAACACCTGCTCTCCTATGATGCCTCCTATTTCTCTGTTTCTTCCCACTTCCTTTAAAAAAACACATCTCTTCTTCTGCTTCCTCAATACATGTCTGATTCTATACCAGGTCCTCGGTGGCCTCACCTACACATGCATGTCTTGAGTGACAGCTCATATGTTGACAACTCCCCAAACTCTATCTGCAGCTCAGACCAGAGCTCCATTCTTGCTATCTTGATGTGTCCTTTTGGGCACCCTAGTTCTGAACTTCTTATTCCTGCCTTAAAATTGGAAATAACCTCCCTTCTCCCCATGGTCTTCTTTCTCTAAGAGAGCCCCTTCTATAACATCCTTTCCTGGAAATGTTCTGAACCACAGACCTGCCATTTCACTCCTCTACCTGAAACCTTCAATGACTTCCTTTTGCTTTTAAGAACAAGGTCGACCACTTGGCTTTCTCCTTGACCTCCAAGCTCTCCAAGCATCACCTCCTGGCCTGCCCACAAGCACCTTTGCTCTAGTCATCAAGTCACTTGAGGTTCTCCGATCATCTTATGATGCTCCATGTCTCTGGGGATTTTCTGTGTGGTTTCTACTTCTTGGAATTGCTTTTCCACATTTTTTTCCTCCTTTTAGAAAAATTAGCTTAAGATTTACCTGCTTTGAAAAGTTGCCCCTGACCCCTCCCTTGGTGTGATTTTGATGTGTATCTTGCAAGAGCCTCCTACTCCCAAACCCAGTTCTCCATTCTCTTCTATATTCTAAACCCATTTCCCTTTGTCTTCCAGAAGGAAGTCATCTCCAGAGATAAAGAGAGTGAGCCCAAGCCACAGAAAGAAAAGGAGAATGAAGACCGGGCACTGTGGCTCATGCCTGTAATCCCAGCACTTTGGGAGGCTGAGGCAGGCAGATCACAAGGTCAGCAGATCGAGACCATTGTGGCCAACATGGTGAAACCCTGTCTCTACTAAAAATACAAAAATTAGCTGGGCGTGGTGGTACATGCCTGTAGTCTCAGCTACTTGTGAGGTTGAGGCAGGAGAACCTCTTGAACTTGGCAGGCAGTGGTTGCAGTGAGCTGAGATTGTGTCACTGCACTCCAGCCTGGGCAACAGAGTGAGACTCTGTCTCAAAAAACAAACAAACAAACACCAAAAGAAAAGGAGAATGAGCAAGGACCTTGGAGTTGTACAGACCAGAGATGGCATAGCAGTGTGACACTGGTCTCTCTGAGCCTGTTTCCTTGTTTTTGAGGTGGGGGAAAATGAATAATCCTTGCATGTTGTTGCTAGGGTTAAATGAGATAATGTATGTGAAGGTGACTTGCACATGGAAGTTAATTTTTTTTAATGTATCTATTTCTTTTTCTTTTCCTTAGTGATTTTCCCTACTGGGCAGCAGATGATTTCTTCAAAGGTTGCCTGGATCAGAGTCCTTAAGGGAATTAAGAAGTTGGGGAGTAATGACCACATCAAGTGTCGGTGAGGATGTGGAGGAACTGGAACTCTTACACACAGCTGGTGGGGATGTACAATGAAATGACCACTTTGGAAAACAGTCTGACAGTTAAAAAAAAAAATTTAACATAACATCTATCATATGAGCCAGCCAATCTACTTGTAGGTATTTACTCAAGAAGAAAGGAACACGGCTATACAAAGACTTGTACATAATGTTCATAGCAGCTTTATTTGTAATAGCCAAAGAGTGCAAATGTCCATTAGTAGGGAAATGGATAAACAAGTCATAGTATATCCATACCATAAAATACAACTTAGCAATAAAAAGAAATGAATGATTGACATACACAAAGACATGGGTGAATCTCCAAAAATTATGCTAAGCAAAAGAAAGCACACAAAAAAGCACATGCTGTGTGATTCCATTGATATGAAAATGTATAAAATGTGAACTGATCTACAGTGATATAAAGTACATCATTGGTTTCCTGGGGACAGGGTTACGGTGCGGCAAGAGGGAGGAATGAAAACAGGGAATGAAGAAACTTTGGGGCTATGAATGTATTTGTTATCTTGATGGCAGTGATTATTTCATGGCTTAAACTTACATCAAAGTTTATCAAATTGTACATTTAAAATATGACATACAGTTTATTGGAGCCAATTAAACCTCAATAAAGTAGTTAAAGAAGAGTTCATGGATAAGACAAATGTAGCTGCTGCTTGTCCAATATTTCCTCCCTGTTTCTTTAGCTCAAGGGAACTCCAATTTTTTTTGGGTGGCATTGCAAATGGGTTATAACTGATCTAAGCCACTTATGATAATCCCATTACCCACTCTGCCTGTCTCCTTTGCAGCTGGGACCGGCCATATAACCTAAGTCACAGAGACCTAAGATGACCTAAGTTGACTGTTGACGATTCTGGGAAAGCTTTGGCTCTCGTAATATAAAGTGGGCTTAATGTGCCTGTTGCAAAACTTTCCTCCTCTCCTTCCTGTTTGGAGTTAGAACATGATATCTGGAGCTGCAACAGCTATCTTGTCACCTTGAGGGCAAGGCTGAGAGAGCTGTAAACATGCTGGCCTTGGTTTCACGCAACCTTTGAGCAGCTACCTTCCTCTGGTCTTGACGTGCAAGAAAAATGCTCCCTATTTGTTTGTTTCTACTGCTGCAAATAGTTTTCTGTTACTTGTAGCTGAAGAATACATTCTCACTGTTATAACTGGGTTGGTGTTTCAGTTATTTACTGCTACATAACAAACTCTCCTAAATTTAGAGCACGAAACCACAACCATTTTTAAATTCTCATGGTCCTTTGGGCCAGGAAATTTGCTAGGGCACAGCAGGAATACCTTGTCTCTTCTCCATGATGTCTGGGGCTTCAGCTGGAGATGGCTGTGGCAAATCAATTATAGCTAGGTGTCTGGGGCTGCTGTGAGATTTGCCAGGGCTGGGATGTCTGCAGTCACTCTTTCACTTACGTGTTTGGTGCTCGGGCTAAGACTGAGCTCTGTCAGTCATCACTTTCTCCATGAGCCTTCTTTACATTGCTAGCTTGGGCTTCCTCACAGCATGGCTGTCTCGGGGTAGTTAGACTTCATATGTGGTGGTTGGCATTCCTCAGAGCAAGTGTACCAAGAGGGGAAGCTCTTTTAAAAAAGTTCAGCCGAGATCCAGCATAGCTTCACTGCCACTTAATTCTACTGTACAGAAAAGCGACAGGCCACTGAGATTCACTGGGTGTAGGAATCCCACTTCTCTTTTAGGGAATGGCATGCAGATATAAGGAGGGGAGGAGGCGATGGTAGCTGTCTTGGAGACAAGATGGGAAGCAGCTGCGAAGCACACAGGTGTGTGAGGTCTGCTTCTGGCTGTGACTCCTCCTGTGACCTGGTGCGCACACTGCCCACTTGCAGTTTCCAGGCCAACGTCCAGACTCCTGATCTCAATGTAACCTTCCATCTGACCCTTGGCTTTGGCCGTGTGGAACTCCCTGACTATTTCTTACTGCCCCCATGTGCCCTCTAACCTCCAGGCCTTTGGACATGCTCCTTCTGATGCCTGAAGTGCCTCCCAATCCCTTCCCTTTGTGATCTTCTACTCATTTTTCAGGCCTCAGCCCTGCTGTTCCCTCTTCTGGCAGATTCCCTGACAGGCCTGGTGTAGGTTGGGCCCCCCTGACTCTGAGTTCACACGTCAGCCTGGTCAACCTCTCCCAAACCCTCAGTGCGTGTCTTCTGGGTGGTCTGTCTGACCCCTAGAATGTGAGGACTTTGAGAGCTGAGACCTGTAACCTCCATCTTTGTACCCCTGTTCCCAGCACAGTGCCTGGCGAAGAGTAGGCAGGCAGGCAGGCACTGTTTGTGGAAGAAAGGCAGGAAGGCTGCAGATCTATACAGACTATGGAAGAAACATGGCAAGGGATTTTCCCAGGGGGTTCCCTGTTGGCATCCTCTCTGCTCCCAGCCCTCCTGGGAATAGCTGAACTCCAGGGCTGTCACTCTTACACCAGAGCCATGCTGAAGTACTCAGTGGCTGTAGAACAGCATGTGTTCAGCCCTGGCGGGGCTCAGGAGCTGTCAGCAGCCCTCCTCACACGCTACCCCAGGGCCCAGGCTGCATTTGTCAGATCAGCTCATATGCCTGGCTGACAGGTGGGGAGCCCTGCCTGGCGCTGAGGCGAGTGTTCCTGATGGATCTCTGGGACTCCTATGCTTCCCGGCTTCCCATGGAATCCAACACATTTTAAAAACCCCTGTTCGTCACCTGTTTGGTGCCCAGTTCTCTGCTGGGCAGTGAGGGGACAACAGAAAACCGGATAGGCAGCAGAGCAAAAGCATGGAGGTAAGAATGAGAGGGGCTGGAGGACAGGGAGCAGGCTGCAGAATGGGGAGCTGAGGCTGCGGAAAGTGGTCAGGACATGGCCAGCTCCCAGGATCTTTTGCTCCAGCTGGTTTTCTGTTCGTATTCCCTGAACGGCCATCCTGGCGGTTCTCAGCAACTCTTCTGATGGGGGATGCCCAGGCCTTACGGAATGCTGCATGTGGTGAGCGCTGCTCCCTTTCAACCACAGGAGGAAGTCTGGTCTTTATCCTAAGAGCAATGGAGAGACACTGAAGGGTTCTTTGTAGGGAGCAAGATTACCAGATTTGGGTTTAGAAAGGTCCCCCAGGCTGCAGAGGGAGAATGGGTTGGAGGAGACATGAAGGAGGCGGGAAGACTGTGGGAAGCTGTTCCAGGCTCCTTGAGGACAGACCATGGTGGCCTAAAGCACGTGGGGGCTGCAGGGATGGGGAGACATGGAGGGATTCCAAGGATGTCTGAAATGCGGACTTCCCAGGGCCTGTTTCTGGGAGGTTGGGAGTGAAGAGGGAGAAGGAAGCATCAAGGGCGATGCAGGATAGGGTGGAGGCTGGAAGTGCTGAGTCACATGGAGTAAAGGAACGCCATGGTGAAAATGGTGAGGTCAGTTTGGCCTCCTCCACTCATGCTTGCCTGCCTTGCTTTCTATGAAATCTGCAGTTAAATGAATGTGTACTGATTTTCCTGGACACTGGGGCAGGTAAAGGAAGACCGTTTCCCATATCTGTACTGTGAGTGGTCCATCATCTACCCTGTAGCTCCATGAAGGTCAGTGCCATTTGTGAGCACAGAACCTACATTTTCTTTGTACGGTGATTTCGGCATGCACACATGAGTCACTTCAGGATGTGGACTTAGGTAGCATGCTTGCTCTGTGTTAGGAAGCTTTCCTGGGGTATCACTCTCTGTAATATGTACATGTGTATGTGTACAGATGGATGCATATGTGTATATGTGCATGTATATGTATATCTGTGTGCATGTGTCTATATATATGTGTGTGTATATATGTATATAGAGAGAGTCAGAGAGAGTGTGCATGCACACTGGGCAAGGGAAGGAGGCTTCACAGAGGTCTTGAAGCATGAGTAGGAGTTTGTCAAGGAGACGAGGGATAAGGAACATTCTAGGCAGATGGAATAGGAAAAGCAAAGGCATGGAATGGAGACTAGGGAGCTTAGAGAGGGCAGAAGGGGAATGGCTGGAGGGGAGTGGGAAGAGAGGCTGTGGTCAGGTCGGGAAAAGCCTGGAATGCCACTCTCCAGGGGCTGAGCTCCACCTTGTAGTATACAGGACGACTTACGGGTTTTATTTCCTAAGTCATCTTCATTTCATTGACAGTGTGTTAATTTCAGAGCATGTGTCAAGAAGGATTCTGGGGTGGTAACATCCCCTGTGACTGCAGGATGGAGTCTGGGCACTAGAGATTTGCCACATCTGCAGAAGGACAGGGAGAGTCACTGGAGGAAGGGATGGGGTTGGGGTGAAGGAGCAGGGGCTCGGGATGTGTGCTGTAGAGGATCCACTGGAAGCTCTCGGAGCATGAGTCGTAGGGAGGCAAGGCTGAGGCCACGCTGCCAATGAGCCAGCATTCAGTTTAAAAATATCTGAGGAACGAATGAACCGCTGAGTGTCTGCACAGCAAAAAGTAGACCTTATTGTAGCTGCTTCTGTAATGAGGACGTGCAGGAGGAATAAAGAATTTCCATGGTAAACACTGTCAGCCTTCCTCTCCCCTTTAGCAAAAATACCAGAGTGAAAAAAAATACAGAAAACATGCATGCGTGCACACACACACGCACACACAAAGCAATGACCCCACCGAGGGGCACTTTCCTTCTCCCCTTCTCTGCTCCCTGTGAAGTCAGAGCATAATTACTGAAAAGCATTTTTGACCGAATTTTAGATGAGCATTTTGACAAAATATAATATTGGAAACAATCTTTATCAAACATTCATGTGTAGTGTGAGAGATAAAGCCCAGAATCCATAATTCATACGGCGTGTGTATTACCAAGTGTGCATGAGAGGCTGAATTTCAATGAGGCAGCCTGAACAATATTTTCTGCCAGACACGGGCTTTCATCATTTACATTATTCACTAGGTTTTCCAGAACAGTAAATCTTAAATATATATTTGTGTTGGGAAGAGCTCGTGTGCATGTCTGTATACACACAGAAGGACGCACACCCGTTTGGGCACAAAATTGGCGGATACATGTTCCAGCTGGAGGGGCACGCGGTGACAGCAGGGAGCCTTGGCGTGGCGGACTCCCCGGGCTCCTACTGGAGGATGGCCCATGTCACCATGGACTCCACAGCTCGCTGCAAAGGCATTAAATCCGCCCACCTTGTGGTCTCCATCTTCAGACCCGCCCAGCACCTCAAGTGGAGTCCTAAAATAAAATGGGACTGAGTGCGAGCATTGCTCCGGATGCTCAAGGGCAGACCTCCTTCAAGTTCACCCTCTGCACTGTTCAGGCAGTCATTGTACCCTGAGTCTCCAAAGGTTAACGTTGGAAGGGACGCTTATAAAGATTGTTGAATTTTGTCTCATTGTGATATGAGTTGGACAGTGGATGGAAGAGCCTCTGCTTGTATACAGCAGAGACAGGAGCACAGGGCCTCCAGCATTTTCCCCACTCCATCTCCGGAGGGTCACACTACTCAGAGATCTTCCTTGGAGGTGAGATTGGGCTTCTTCTCATGATCACTCACTGTTGCTGTGCCGGTCCATGAGGTCCCGCAGCACAAGTCTGCTTCCTGGGGCACGGGCCCATCCTTCAGAGCTCTGAGTGTGACGTCGCATCCCTGGGATCATCTTTTTCCAGGCCTTTGTTCCTTCAGCCTTTCCTCACATCGCTTGTGTAGTGGATGCCGGGATGCACTGCCGAGATCTCCCCTGGCGACCGAGGAGCTCATTCTGCTGCCCAGAGTGTGGCCCGCTGCTGACTTGAGGCCGAGTCCCTCCTCAGGAGTTCCCCTGAGCAGGAAGCACTGGATCCCCCAAGGTCTTGCCCCTTCCCACATGCGGGGGAGGAGGTCACAGCCCAATTGAATGACTGGTAGACGCATCTCTGAAAAGTCATTCCCAGCTCTAGAGTCCCTGGGGCTTGGCTGAGCCCTGTGCTGCAGCTGCACTGCAGTTCAGCCTCTCTCTGCCTGACCTGGAGTCTGTTACTTCCCACAGGTGTTGATCCCCAGAGGTCCCAATACACATCCTGCATGTAAGTCCTCATGGTAGTCCCAGGAAATCAAGCCAAAGAGGGCCAGAAACAGCAGTGGTCTGAGGAAGTGGACTCTAGCTGGGATTGTGGAGCTGGATCTTCTGTTGCCCTGTGGGCACTGAAGACCCCATCACAGGCTGGAAGGCTAAGAGCTCCAGGCCTATAGTTTCAACTGTGGGTGCAATGGCTGGCTTTTTCTCTGGTGGAAAAACTGGGATGGAAGAGAATGCAGGGAAGGCTGCATATTTCAGGAGCTGGAGAGGACTGGGGAAATTAGTAATTATAAGGACAATGAAATTGCATGGCTCTTACTGAATGCAATCAATGGATTGAAAAAAAAAAACAATAAAAGGCTGTAGGTGATTAATTACCACTTTAAGGCAAAATGTGCAAGTCGTGGACTTCCTCCACGACATAAAGAGATGCA